AAAGAATTATTTTATTTAACTTTATTTCTTCCTAATGGGTTGCTGCTTCCTGACAGGCATCTTCTCCCTCATAGGATACCCTTAGCCCACTGAGAATGGCCCCTCCCCAAACTCCCTGATAAAAGACAGTGCTTAAGCCCTAAGGGGGGGAGTGGGGCAGAGATTCAGAGTGTTAACTCCTCTGTGCCCGCCAGCGAAATTAAAGAGTTCTTTTTTCCTTTTGGAGTGCTGTGTTTTCGTCCCTTGGCTGTCTGCTTTTCCGCAACAATAGATAAAAAAATGCTGTGCACAACAGGGCAGGAAGTGTAGCAGCCCACTGCATAGTGTCTAGCCTGGCCTATCAGGGTCATCGGGTGGGGGCCAAAGGATGCCGCTTAGTGGAGATAATGGGCAGGGGCATTGTGGATACTGTTTGGCCTGTTTACTGAAGCTCTAGCCCGCTTCTGTCAGCAGCCCAGACCCCTGGATGGACAAGGGTAAGGTATTTGAGCAGGGTTGGAGCTTATCGTCCTGCTTCCACTCACGGTCCTCGCTCCTTTAACCCCAGGAGGTGGCTAGGTCTCATTTGAGACTGAAGCCCAGAGACTGGCCTTAGGAAGAGGCTTGCAGTGCCTGAGCAGACCCACCCCAGTTGGGCTTCCTGGGATTCAGCCCCTGCTGGGTGACCAGCCAACCATGTGGCCTTGCTGTTCAGAGTGGATGAAGTTGATGCTACTTCCTGCTGTATGCCTTGAGCAAATTTCCTCTGCTTTGAACCCCAGGTTCCTTTAAGAGTTCATTTGTAAATGTGAGAAGCAGCCACCAGCATTTCTTCTTCTTTTAATAGAGGTGTTGCCTTAGGGTGAGTGCACAAACCAGAAAGAGGGACAGTGAAAGGGAAAGTGAGAGGGATGGCCACACCGCAACCCCCTCTACCTTCTGGGATTTGGGGCATGCACATAACATGTGCCCAGCATGAGTTTCAGGTTACTGAGTCTGGCACTCAAACTGTGGTCGGTCACATGGGAGTCCAGTGCCTTAACCATGATGCCACCCACTGGCACCTGTACCCATGTTTCAAAGCCCTGCGTTTGGTTAAGGTGAGGTTGTTTTTGGTTTTTGTTTTTTAATAACCTGAGAGTGTTTGCTGGAGCCTGGTGTGATGCTCACTGGCCAGGTAAGATCTAGTTTCTTCTGCACAGCGCCTTATTGCTAACCCGTTTGGGTGAGGTTTGAGTGAACTAAGATCCCCACAGTAGGCTCCCATTGGTTCCCCAGCATGTCTTCATTGCAGGCATGGTGGTGTGGTGACTGGAGGGAGTGACAGCCCCAGTTACAGGCTCTTGCCATTGGTGAAGACAACCAGCTCCCACCTCCTGCTGCTTGTTGGCTGTGCTGGGCATGTTCCTCCTACCCCTTGTCCCCTAGGAGTGACCCCATCTGATTAAGTGCCATCTGGCGTTGCTTTTAAGGTTGCACATCACAAGTTCAAAATCCTTCATTGCTACTAGCAACACCCTTCTCCCACCCCAAAAGGAAAGAGAAATCACCCTCCAGGAGGGGATACCCTTTCTCCGTTCTCTCGGGGTTTGGGTCATGTACATAAATGTACCCAGTATGTTTTTCGAGCCACCGGGTTTGGGATTCAAGCTGCTCAGCTGGCCATGTGGGACCTAAACACCTTCACTGCTGTGCACCAGCTGACCCAAGACACCCATTTCAGATGTGAGTCCTGAAATGCCCTGTTGGATTTAGCGTCATCCTTTTCTTGAGACTTAGCAACATTAAGTCACTGGGGTGCACTATTGCCGTCCATACGGGAGAACCTGGGCTGGTCTGCCCTGGCTCGAAACTTAGTGCGACCGGGAAGACTCAGCCACTCCATGCAGACCTCACCTCTGACCGCTGCTGTACTCATCATGCTGGGACCTGTGGACAGAAGTCTGACCACTTTTCCTATTTTTCCCAAAATCTTTTCAAAAGAGGACTGAGGAAGTCATGCCCACAAACATTAACAGACCATTTACTTTCTATTAACAGGATTCTTCCTACCTCCTGTCCCTGCATAGTATCTTTGAGATGCATATTTCAACCATTAGTGTATTCTTTTGCTTATGCCTTCCCAAGACATAGAACTTCCCTTTTTCTTGAGATGTAGATTGAGCCTTTCTTTAACTAAGACAGGGATCTACCCTTCCAATCACCGACCTAAGAATTTGTGGAACCCACCTATAACCTACAAGCACCCCCCCTTCTACCTGTCCCGCCTTTTTGGGCCAGACCAATGGGAAATCTTTTAATTAAATGTTGTCTGTCAATCTCAAAAGCAAATAAAAGGAACCTCTGTACATGATCACCCCGAGAAAAGGCATGTATGCCTCTTCTCCGGGCCTAGGTCACTCACAGTTGGCTTGGAAATAAACCGCATTAATTATTAATTATTAATTTTACAGTTGGTTATATTTTTCCGTCGACAGACCTTTCTGGCAGACTTCTCCAGGGCCAAATATGCGCCCTCCACTATGATTCCACCATATAAAAGGGGCAAGTTGTTTGCTCTTTATTTTATTCTTAGTGTCTGGATATACATTTCTTCCCTAGATGAGACACAGCCTGTCTACCTATGTACAGGTATATACATGCTCCCACTCAACGGTTTCAGACACAGATCACAGATCCCTTCCAAAGATCTATGGCAATTGTGTCCAAAAGGGCATGAGTAGTGTTGGCTACACTTTCGAGTTTTCGTAGTTGGCTTTGGTTTATAAAAACAAACCTTAGAAAAATTAAAATGATCCCAAATTATCTTCAGCCATTTTCTTGGGCTTCCTAACCAAACTGCCGGAAGCAGAACCCGAGTCCCAAGGTGTGAGTGGAACGAGGGAGTCTGGCTCCCCAGGGGACCGAGGCTCACAGGATGCAGCAGGTAGAAGACTTGGGTGCTGGGCCACCGTTGCAAATTTCTGTACTCACTGCAAGAGAAGGCAAGATGGTGGGCAAGAACTGCATGTGCCCCATCCCTTCCCTCTGCTCAGTGCCTTCTACCGGCCCCTCAGGAGAAAGGGTCAAGTGTGGGTCTACAGCCAGCCCATGCCAATTAGTGGGGACCCAACCTTTCTCAGTGCGTTAGCCTTTGACACCATGGCCTGATTACTCTCAGCCTTGGTTTCCCACAACCCCGAAGCATGGGATCAAAGCCCCAGAGTCGAGGTGGCAGGGAACAGGCCCAAGCAACGATGCCACCGGGATTCTAATTCAGGAGGCACCGACGTGTTAAAACTGAGAGTTCCATAAGGATAGGGTAAGGGGGGAACACTCCTCTGGACGCAGCACAAGATTTAGCTCTTGTCTGAACTTGCTTACATTTTGCTTGAATACTTTGTTTTTGTTTTTGCTAGAGTGCTTGTGCGCCTTGCCAGAGAGAGAGAGAGAGGGAAAGTGAGAAATCACCCTCCAGGGGGACGGCCACACTGCAATCCCTTCTCCCCCAATCTCCTCTTGGGATTTTGAGCGTGCATGCACACATGCCCGGCATGATTTTCAAGCCGCTAGGTCCAGGACTCGAGTGCGGTCAGCCCTGTGGGAGTCTAGACCTAAACACTATACCTCCTGCTGGCCCTCTGCTCTTTCGGTGTGCTGTTTTGTTCCTGACGGGAGCACGGGTGGACTTCCTGAGTTACTTAGGAGACTGCTACTCCAAAGCAGAACAGGACTGTTTGGATTTCAGTGAGCCGCCATCCCTGGCAATCTCTGGCTAGGAACCAGAGGAAATCCTTCCAGTCTGGGTTTGTTAACTACATAGACTCAGCAGCGCCTCTGTGGGACGGGACCTTCCTGAGAAGCTCCCGCAGGGCTGCTTGGAATCCCCTCTGCCTTTTTTTTTGAACTGTGTTGAGCGACTTTCTGCCTGCAATCAGCCAAGTGCCTGGCTCTGCAGGCTGCAGGCCACAGGGAACCACACCTTTCTTGGCCGCCACCTCCTCCTCCTCCTTTTTCTCCTCCTCCAGGGCCCTCACTTTGGCCTCGTACTTGTCAGCCAGCGCCTTCCACTCCTTTCTGTTGTTCTGCAGTCTGTCGAACATGGGCAGGATCTCTTCGTGGAAACGGGAAAACTCCTGGAGGGAATTGTGGAGTCGCTGTGCTGTCGCAACTGCTGCAGGACTCACAGCGACTTTGGGTGTGACTGTGATGCACTCTTAGCAATAAAAGGATCCCAAGAATAGAGAGGAAAATGTCTACTGCAGGAGGGATGAGGGGCAGGATGGAATGCACCCCTAGCATAGAGCAGGGGCGGGGGCGTGGTAACAGGCAGGTCCTGCAGCGCCTTCGCCCATCTCGCTCACATGTGCATACACCCACAAAGGTCTATGCCATACATACATTATATGCTTAAATCACATATGCACATACCACACATGCACGTACCACACATCCACACACATCACACGCACACACAACACATACATTCACACATGCACACACATACCACATGGGCACATGTACACATACACATGTACATATCACACACTTAACTATTACATGTGCACATACCCATGCGCACACAGCTTGTGCGCACACTATACATATGCACATACCACATGTGTACACGTATGCACACACCACATCATGCCACACACTTGCACATACCGCACGTGCACACATCACGCAGGGTGTGGATGGGGAAGCCCTATAGTAGGGCTGTGGCCTGTGGGCACTTCGGCATTGACTGTCTTGCTGGTCCCACTTTACTGCCTCACACTTACAGCAGGATGAGGCCCTGCCGGGGATGACCTCACTTAGAAGCAGGTGACACCCTCAGCCCAACCCAGGAGGCCCCTGTGGAGCTGGGCTGTCACATGGGCATCACAGGAGCTCTGCAGTTGGATCCACTACCCTGGAAAACCTTTCCTGAGCTCACGCCCTGTGTCCTTGTGGGGCCAAAAGGGAACTCAGCGTAGTCTCAGTAGGATGACAAGTCCCTGGCACGTCGGTGGTGAGTGTGGCTACTTTCAGCTGTTCTGTTCATCTTTACTGGCCGGCCATGCCAGCATGCCAAGCAGACCCAGCCTGCCCTCGAGGGCTCACAGACTCGGAATAAATGAACCTGCGGAGGGGCGCCAGCTGCAGGGGGGGAGGTCCCAATGAGGAGGGAACATGTGAGGTGACGCCTGAGGTGAGTGGAGGACACTCTGGGTGGGAAAGCTGCTCTAGACACTTTTTTTTTCTTTTTTTTTTGCTACAGGGCGCGTACACTCACCAGAAAGACAGAGAGAGACAGAGAGACAGAAATCAAGAAATCACCCCCCAAGGGGAGATGGCCACACTGTAATCCCTTCTCCATTCTCCTCTTGGAATCTTGGGCACGCACGCACACGCACCTGCCGTGAGTTTAAGTTTAAGCCGCTGGGTCCAGGACTCAAACCACAGTCAACTACATGGGAGTCCAGCGACATAGCCAGTACGCCATCTGCTGGTCCCCTTGGTACTTCTAAGGAACAGATGGAGGTCTGTCTTGAGTGGCGGTGGAGGTGGATGGGCCACAGGCTGAACAGGTAGGCAGATGCTGGGAGGAATGGGCACTGAGGTCCCCCCTACCCCACACCAGATAGGGAAGCCCATATAAGCACCCCCTTCTCACATCTCCTTGCCTGCTCCCGCCACCCCGAACACCTCTGTGCTGCACACCTTATACACGAACGTGCACACGAAGTCAATGAAGCCAACTTGCAGCTTGGGGAGCTCGGCCGCCTTGTTCCGGTCCATCATGGGCTTGCAAGGGAAGAGGCAGGTGATGAGGATGCTATCTTTTTGGGCCCCTCAGGACCTTACTCAGCCCCCAACCCTGCAACTCCAGTGTTCACGGACACACAAAATGAGCAGAGCCCACGGGCTCTGGGACCAAGCCTGCCTAGATACATGCTGGCCCTTGGCTGTGAAGGGGAAGATGGTCCTTGCCACGTCCCCTGGGGTCTCCACCCTGTGGGCTGCTGTCTTCGGTGCTGACCCAGAGCCTGTCGGCACTGGCTAACACTGACAGCAGTGACCCAGTCACTCAGCTGACCAAGGCCCCTTGGGTGGGGGGGCTAGATGTTGACGCGCTCTGTGCATGGACTTGTGATGGACTTTGGTGTGGCTGGATTCTGGACACTTGGAGCTGCCTTCCCCTCGGCCTCCTTCACAGCCGCCTCTACCCTCAGAGTTTGTATGGGGAGGGTGAGCCACCCAGCCTCATGTCACAGCCTCATGTCCCACAAAATGAGGTGTGGCTCCAGGACCCCAGGACCTCCTTGGTTCCCTGTCTGCCACCAAGCCAGGAAGCGCCCGAGGACCATGAAAGGGTCTAATCCCCTTGTCAGGGTGGAAGTTTCTGGAAGCAGCACTCACAATGGGTTGTTGATTCAATACTGTCCTTTCCAAGTCACCTTGTTCCCAGAACTCAGCAGCTACAAGAAGAGCCACCTGGGGAGCACACGAGGCAGTCCTCTTGGGGGTCTGTGCTTCCCAGGTGTGTCCCAGGCCCTCCCCATGAGGCTCTGTGCCCTGGTCTCCTCGGACCCAGATCCCAGTGCTCAGGGCTGGCCACTCCTGAGCACAGTGCCACTTCCCACCCTTGCACCTACAGCCAGACTGACAGCAGACTTCAGAGTTATTTGCAAATAGCGGTCTGTCCCCCTCGGAAGCTCACTAAAATGAGCCCCTCAAGGCATGGAGGAGATTTCTTGCTGCGTCAGGATGGCTCTCGCGAGTCCTGACCTTGCTCTGGACTTCCCAGGGCTTGGTGATGGCTGATAGATCGCACGCCGTCATCATCATGGCCCTGTGGACAGACAGATGGAAGTCATGAGGATTTCCTGGGTGTCTTCTATGGCAGGTGCTTTACATATGTTTTCTTATCGGCTCTCTGGGACAGGCCTGGAGGAAGATCTAGTTCTGAATCATGATTTTGTAGGTGAAGACGTAGAAGCTCAGAAAGTGAAGTACATTATTGCCCAAGGGCACAGACCGAGGACTCCAAACCCTGCTAGCTTCCCTGAAAATTGGGAGCAAATAAGGGTGAAACGTGTCTCAAAGCATCAGTAAGCCACAGAGACACGAGCCATTCTTGTAGCGGACATGTAGGGGCTGGCTCTGTTCCAGCGGGGAAGGTTTGCAATCTAACTGCCTCGTGCGTGGTGGACCCATGCCCTCTGAAGGGGAGCGCACCCTCCCACGCTGACCTCCACACTCACATGATTATCTCTTTCCGCGTTGTCTCCAAGGACAGGTACTCCACCCAGCTTTTCTTGTCCGTGTAGTTCTTAGACTCGTCCACGATCTTCTGGAACATCACCCTCTTCCTGAACCCCAGGGGAGGGGCACAAGAGAGAGCAAGTGAGAGACCCCTCGACTCCCCCTCACTACTCCCCACCTGCAGGAGAAGAGCCGAGGCAGGGATGCAGGCCCGTCTGGAGTGTGTGGGGCTGAGACCTGGGCAGGACCAGACTCGGGGGCTGCTTCACCCCGGTCATGCTCCCAAGGCCTGCTGGGAGCCCCAGGACTCCCCTGCCCTGGGCCAGCGAGGCTCCCCTCCTGGCCCCTTCAGCCCGCTGGGTGCCCACTTGAAGTAGAGGGCCAGGTCTGTGGCGATGATGGCGATGTCCATGAGGTGGGTGACGTGCTCGTGCTGCCGCCGGTTCAGGTTCTGGTAGATGTTCAGGGACTGCGGGAGGCACTGTGTCACCAGGCTTCCCGCAGGCACTGTGACCTGCTCTGACTCTCCAGCCCCTCTCCCTCCAGCCCTCAGCGCACAAGACCCCCAAATCCTGCTGTCTTGGGCCCATGGCTAGGACAGTCCTTGCCACCTCTTACGGTGCCCACCCTCTGTCAACTTCTATCATGGCCATCGGCACGGGACCCAGATGGCCTCCTATGTCACCGCCCAAGAGGAGGTGGGAGGGGCCACTGAGTGTCCTGGTTCCTCCAGGACCGCCCACAGCTCAGCTGCTGGGTGCTCAGCGTCCATCCGCTCTGCCCCAACCCCTGACTTCTTGGATTCCATCCCCACCTATGATGGGGACATTTTCAAACAGGTGTCTTCCTGCTGCCAAACCCTCGCCCGGCCCAGGGCCAGAGATCAGGCTTGTCCCCCTGGACCTCAGTCCTCGCTTTTCTTCAGTTGCCCTCAGGTGCCCAGTCAGAACACCTGCTCCCAAGACGTGTGGACACTGTGTCCGCAGTGCTAGGGGAGGGCTAGTGCAGGCGACAGCCAGCTGGCCCACAGCAAGGGCTGAGGTGAAGACACGAACCTCTTCCGAGAGCAGGAACTTCCCAAACTCCAGATGATGTCGCTCCAAAATTGAGGAGCCGTGGAGCTTGGCTAAGGGGTTCTGGGATCTGTTGCAAATTGTATTTAAAAACAAATAATAAGCCAATGGTCAGAAGAGCATTCTAGAGGCAGAGGGCTAAGGGGCCACCCAAATACCCTGGCTGGGGGGGGCCCAACTTCGACCCACACAGGAGCTGCAACCCTGCAAGGGAGATCCCACTCTCTGCCTGTGTTGGTTGCTGGGGATGCTCAGATCCATGCCCAGGCAGGGAAGGGAATTTGCGCACCCGCCCCTGCCTCCCCCCGCCCCCCGTCAGGCACCTACTTCATCTGGTACAGATTGTTGGTGCCACGGTGGTCGATGTCGTGGCACAGGCCGGCTGTCACCATGGCAAAGGCCTCCAGATCTGTGTAGTAGCTTTTTAGCTTGCCTGTCTGTGGAGACAGGGCCACCATGCCCGCGAGTCCTATGGGGCCGGGTTCCCAAACTGTTCCCTCCAGCCCTGGTGCCCTCCAGCCATGGCAGGGGCTGGGGGCTGCCCTGGATGGGAAGAGACGGCCTCCTCTGCTTCCTCTGCTCTTACAGGCAGGCCTCCACCATCCTCTCAACACCAGGAGGGTCTTCGCAGCTCTGGTCAGAGGGGAGGCCTGACAGGGAGACTCTGCCTGCCCCATCCACGCACCATGAGCAATGTGAACATCGTCTGGGCCACATTGAAGCCATGACGCCAGTTGTGGTAGGTGACTCTCCGGTATCCTTTGCTGACAGAGAACAGGAAACGCACCAGGACCTGGAGGAGCCGAGAGAATATAGGCTCTGGGCTCCGCCTGCAGGTCCTGGCAAAGTGGTGCTCGCTGTTGCCATGGCTCCAGTTCCGAAGGCCTGCTCCACACCCTCACCCCAACACCCTGCCTCCTGGGCCTCCAACCTCCTGATCCCTGTTGCTCACCACTGACCTCTGCTGGTCTTCCTGTGAGGGGATGGGACACCTGTCCAGCGGAGGAGGGAGTGGCAGGAAGCCTGAGCTGGGCAAGCAGAAGCTAAGAACAGACCCAGCATTTATGGACATCTGGGGCCTCCCTCTTACTACCCAGTCCAAAATTGGAAAGAGGACCCCTGGAGACATGGGGTACTTTAAGCAGAAAGGGTCAGTTTTAGGTGCAGATGGCAACATGTGTGCGCTGCGTGCAGAAGGGGAGGGAGGGCCATTGCAGGGCAGTTATTACTGAGCAAGAGAATACAGGTCACAGGAACCTCTTATTATGTCCTTTGTGATTTTTAGGGTCAGAAAATTATTTTTCCTTAATCTTTTTGATTGTTAGAGGGTATATGCACTTGCCAGAGAAAGAGAGAGAGAGAGAGAGTAGATAAAGAGAAAGAGAGACAGAAAGTGAGAACATACCCTCTAGAGCGATGGCCACATCACAATCCCTTCTCCTCCATTCTCCTCTGAGGATTTTGGGCATGCATGCACACATACTAAGCATGTTTTTCAAGCCACCAGATCTGGGACTTGAACCATGAAGTTGGCTGTGTAGGATCCAGTTGCCCTCACCACTATGCCACCAGCTGACCCAGGTCAGAAAATGATTTCAAAATATTTTTTATTCTGTTAATATTTTCCATACACTTTTCTTTTTTTGTTTTCTTTTATTATTTAGTAAAATTTCTTTGGAAAATGCCAGCCAGCTGCACCTGTCCTCAGTAAAATATGAGAGGAGATGATTCACTCTTGAGCATGGGGAAGCAGGCCACTCCCTCCTCCCGGCCTTGAGGTGTGGAGGTGGGAGCCAGAGGCTGTGGGCAGATGGCTGGGAGCTCTGCTGTGGCCTAACCTGGAGGACACTGCATGCTTTCTGCTTAGGTAATAAGTTGCTTCTGTTTCCTCTACACCCCAGGCAAATCCCTTGCTATTGCCCAATGATATACCTAATGACCAAATTGCTTAGAAGTTCTATTAATCAAACTTTCTGTCTCTCGGGGGCTGGCAGGTGGTGTGGTGATTAAGGGTGCTGGACTCCCACGTGACCAACCATGGTTCAAGTCCCAGACCTGGCAGCTTGCTTTCTCACTTTTCCCTTTCTCTCTCTCTGTCCCTCTCTGGTCAAATTAACATAAATAAATAAATAAAGCTAAATAAAATAATTCTTTTAAAAATTTTTTTCTATCCATTTCTCCAGTATATATTTGTCCATCCACCCATCCATCTACCCACTCATCTCTCCAACCATCCACCCACTCACTTGCCCATCCACTCATCCCCCCATCTACCAATTCACCCACCAATCTAGCCATTCATCTACTCATCAACCCAACCATCTATCCACCCACCCATCCATCCACCCACCCATCCATCCATGCATCTGCCCATTCACCGAGCCACACACCCATCCATCTATCCACTAATCTACTCATCCACCCCCCATCCATGCATCCATCCACTCACCTGTCCATCCACTCTACCAATCCACCCACCATCCATATATCCACTCATCCACCCATCAATCTACCCAATTATTTATTTTGGGCATACTTACTGTGTGTATTTTATCCATTCCATGATGCACATGTCTGCCCTCCCCCCCAAACCTGTGGGACCTGACACTCTCACCCACATTTCCATTACCACCTGTAGGGTCTGGAACCCTTGATCATGTCCTCACCCCCACACTGTGGGGGACCTGAGGCTCCTGACGATGTCCTGCCATACCTCCCAGAGGATCTGGGACTCTCGTCATGTTGCCCTACCTCCTGCGGGATCTGGAACTTGCGGACCACACCCAGCTCGAAGTACATCTGGATGCCACATTTGACCAGATCCAGCTCAGTGCACTCCAGGTCAGAGAAGTGGAACTCATAGATGTCAAACTTGGTGGGCCCTGGCAGCTCTTCCTTCTGTGGGACAGGAGTACAGGGCTGAGGGGAGCAGGTCCCCTGAGGTCCCCACTTGTTCCTTGTCCTTTCTCATGTCTGAACCTCCCGTCCAGCCTCAGGCATGCCTGACATTTCTTCTCCAGTAACTGTGGCCTGTAGCTGGGACACTCACATCTGTCCCTAGCTCAACCTGGTCCTCTCCTTTCCTCCTGCCCTGTAACCCAACAACAAAGAACATGCCCAGATGGGCAGACAGAGTGATGTTGTCAGGAAAACAAACACTACAGTGTGCACATAAAAACATACACAGACACACGCAGGTTACAGGCACACATGTGGACACAGGTACACATGTGAATACATAGGCAGCCAGGTGGATACACAGGTATGGACATGGCTATGCAGGCACACACATGCAGACACATGCACACAACCAGAGGCAATCCAGACACCAGCCGACTTTGGGAACCTGTCAAACACATTCACATGCTCAGTCAAAGGCCCACTCGGTAGGACTAACAGCCCTTGCATGATTCTGGTGAAATCACTCGGGCAGACACAGGGTAATAGAGACGTCACGAAACTTTCAAGTTGATCCAGGGGTGCTCTGTGAGAAACACACACAGGCAAGTGTTCATATGTATTTGCACGTGCACACACAAGCACATGCATGCACACATGTAAACAGACACAAACACTAGGTGCTGTAGGCACCTGTCAGTCTTTTTTTTTTTTTTTTCTTTTTTTGGAGAGGTTTTTTTCGCTATAGGGCGCGTGCGTTTGCCAGGCAGACAGAGAGAGATGGAGAGATAGAAAGGGAGAAATCACCCCCCAGGGGGGATGGCCACGCCGCAATCCCTTCTCCTCCATTCTCCTCTCGGGATCTTGGGCATGCACGCACACATGCCCGGCGTGAGTTTTAAGCCACCAGGTCCGGGACTCGAACCGTGGTCGTCTACATGGGAGTCCAGTGACATAGTCATTACGCTAACTGCTGGTTCCCAGCACCTGTCAGTCTTACAGCAGATGGTCACTTAGTCCAAATTATGACCACAGAGGCTAAGACGTGGAGAGCTCTGGAAAGGCATGAAAGAGCCACGCAGACAATAGATTCACACAGTAGGGCAGACAATAAGTCAGCTCTTCTGCTGGACAGACACACTCCGAGACTTCCTTCCCAAGGACTATGTAGACACACGGCAGCTAATATCACAAGGGGTTAACTGCAAGCACGCTCCAGCCCCAGGGAAGGGAGCGCTCTGGTCTGCCCTCTGCCCCCAGGAGCATCCAGTCTTCCCTCAAGGACGGAGTCAGAGCCTTACCAAGATTTCAGCCAGCTCCTCCTCCTCACACTCAGCAGGCTCCTTCCCTAGGCGTTCTCTTGTCGGCTAACAGAGGACGATAGGCATGATGTGAGTCAGGGTGATTGCATCACCTTCTCCCCCCACGAACATGGTGGACAAAGGTGCAGCTGAGTAAGGACGGAGGGTCCAGGCAGCCTGCTATGCCAGAGATTAATGACCGCTGTACAGGGGCAGCTCATTCTCCCAGGTGCTCCTATCTCTTGGGCACCTTCTAAGCAATCCACATGGATGGCAGGTGGAATCGTCACATGATGGACCAGGAAGGCTTTGGTCACACCCTCTTCACTGGTAAAGAGACCGACATACAGGAGAGGGACTCTGAGGTGCGCAGACAATGCCACAGTGTGTGCAAGCTGGGGCTGAACCCCAGTCTTTGATCCCAGGAATATGCCTAACCACTGGGATACTCTGCCTCCCTCCTGGACAGAGAAGGACTGATGACATGAAGGGAAGTACCAGAACTGACTGGATTTCATCCTTGTCACATCTCACGTGGTACAGAACCATGTCCTGGGCAATGTCCTTGCAGTTCTCCAGCTTGTTCATCTTGTCGTAGGTGTCAGTGTTCAGCACCGACCAGCCCAGGAACTGCGTCAGAGACTGGGACAGAGCAGCAGCGTCAGCTGTCCTGACATACTCACTGAGCACCTACTACGTGTGGTGTCCCGGGCTTGGTATGCAGGGTCCCAGGATGCCTACCAGAGAGCCCCCAGCTTCCAGAAATAGGCCCTGGCGAGTGTCTCCTGGTTCCCGCTCTCCCTGACCTCATGCTGGGTCGGGGGAAGGAAGCACATGGTAGAGAGAGACCCCACACAGCCAGAGTCTTGACGTCACACAGGGTGTCACCTATGCCCCACCTGGTAACAGGTGTTTACCTCCATGAGAACCTCATCCTGTTCATCAAAGGGCTTCCCATCTTTCCTGTTGTAAAAGGTCGCAACGGCCACGATCTCCTCCTTTTTGTTGACGATGGGCATGGAGAGCACATTCTTGATGACCCACCCAGAGTCGTCCAGGGGCCCGTCCTGCAGGGAGTGGTGTCCAGAGCTGAGTGTGCTTTGGGGCTGGCCCCGGCCAGGGCTTGTTAAACACGTGGTGTGAGCCTTATTTATTCTGCCCTCAAACTGATGACTGCGTCATTGTCCCATCTCTTCACTTCCTCCTTGCATTTAAACTTTATGTCCATGGTTTTTATGGCATACGTTTTCTAAGTAGAGGAGGGGGAGGATGTTTTTCTATCAGGACTGTCTTCACAGTCAGCCAGGAGCCCACCCTCAGGAGGGTTGTGGGCTTGGTTAAATGCTCTGCTCTCATGTTCTTAAAGTTTCTAGAAATTGCTCAACAGGGGCCTCGTATTTTCATTTTGCCCTGGAAGTTAGGTAGTTGGCCCTATGTGACTTCTATATGACTTTCATCCCACTGATATCGGGCCTGGCCGATGATGTATGGATAGTTACTAGAGGAGGTCCCTAGAGACAAAGCATGTTTCCACCGGTCCACTTGTCCACCCATCTGACCTGGGAAAGAGCCTTCCCTGGCCACACATCACCACATAAAGTCAGGTGGAGCAGACTTGAACCCTCAAACCCTGAGCCCTCACTGGGGCCCAGGCTGGCCCAGCTGAGTCCAGTCAAGATCAGCCAAGATCAACCGAGCTCAGGGAAGCCTAGACAAATCCAGCTGAGCCCAGCCAAGATCAGCCAAGATGAGCTGAGCTCAGGCAAGCCCAGACCAGGCCAAGTGAATGTAGCTGAGATCAGTTAAGCAGGCTTGAACCCTTGAAACCTGGAACCCACCATGGGGCCCACACTGGCCCACATCAGCCAAGCCCAGATAAGATCAACTGAGATCAGTCAAGACCAGTCAAGATCAGCTGAACCCAGCCAAAATAAACGAAGCCAAGGTGAGCCCAGACGAGATCCCTCCCAGACAAGATTCCTCTTGGCCAAGATCAAACAAGTCCAGTCAAGATTACCAAGTACAGCCAAGATCACCGAAAACAACAGGGCTTAGTTGACCTTAGCAGACCTGCGTATATGAAACACATGCTTGTTATTGTCAACCTCAGCTGAGACTTTGATGTTGTTTCTTAAGCAGCAAAAAACAATTCAGCCCATCATTTCTGAACCAAAACATTTTTCCTAAGTAAAATACAGTTTCTATCAATGAATAGAAAGATACCTGAAATTTGAACGTTTCATCAGCAGAAACATTCATGATGTTACAGATCTGAAAAGGGATCAGAAAAACAACTTCACCAGAAGCAGTTGAATGTACAATGTGATTCTAGAAAGGACCCTGCAATCCAGTCGCACTTTCAAGAGTTGAGCTTCCAACTAGGCAAAGCAGAATGACTGAGGGCTCGCTGAGACACACAGGGACTGGTGGGAAGGACTTGAAGGAGACGAGGGCGAGCATGCATCACAGCATGGGCAAGGGCAGGGTCCTGAGGACCCGACGGCATGGGACTCACAAAGCCACTTTCTGCCACGTAGGTTGGAAGGCCACTGACCAGGGCCCAGTGATCTGCCGGGGGTGTGCTGGGGAGAGAAGCATAGAGTCAGACACACCAGATACTTGGGCTGTTAGATGCATGAATGTAGATTTTAGCACATGAATGTAGATGTGAGCACTAATATTTATTCCCTTCACTGAGTTCCAGGAGGGATCAGGAGTGACAGAGGTTGTAGGAGAGGGTCCAGAGGAGGCTGATGCATTGGGAGAACCTGATAAGGACTTGAGGAAGTAGAAGAGATTAGGAAATGAGGTTGGGGGACATCTGTGCTGCCTCATTTTTTCTTCCTGCTCTTTGCCCATGCTGGGGCTCCTTACTCTGCAGTAACTCTCTCCCTCACTGGAGACCACATGGCTTTAGGCTGCCTTCTGGGACTCAGTGTGGGTCCTGCCCTGCAGTCTAGGCCCTGACTTAAGTCCAAGCTTAGAGTTTGGATCCTAGTCCCTATGTGAGGCCTGGGTTGGAGTCCTGACAGGCTTGGGTGCGTGGAGGTCACTTGTCCATGCAGCTGTAGGGTTGGGGATGGCTGACCACATTTCCTTAGTCTCTCCCTGCTGGAGTCTTGCCTTGACCCTACATGGACTTTCCTCTTTCAGCCCCATGGGGGAGTGCAATGCCAGGCCTCTCCTTCTGGAGGCTCCACCTGTCTGGGCTGGACTGTTTGACCCAAGATAACCCTAAGGGTTTCACAGTTCAGTTGCTGCTGACTGGGCCTCCTGAATAGCTCAGCCGATCGCTTGAATGTCCACTCTGGGTAGCCATGGTGCCTCGGGCTCACCACCTCCCTCCTCACCTTCCCGTCTCCTTCTCACTGTCTCCTAAAAGTGAGTCCCTCTTCCCACCATGTCCCACTGCAACCACAGCATGGGGAGCTCTGCAGGTGGAACCAAGCACCAGGGAAGTCCAGGGCCAACTGAGAGCGAGCTTCCCCTTCTTATAAAACCCTGGCACTTACGGGATGACTTTGATGTCTTCCTTGCCGTGGAGGATATAGTCAATGACTTTGTAGAAGATGATTTCCTGGGAAATAAAACATATCAGTGTGGGGTCTCCCTGGTCCAGCTCTTCCACAGGGTCCTTCCCTGCAAGGTGAGAAATGATGCCAGGTGCTCCTGCCCGGACACAAGCACATGTGCACACACACACAGAACAGACACACATTTGTATGTGCAACACATACAGATTACATACAAATAGTTACACACAGCCACACATACTCACAGGTGACACACACAAGTAAACACACATGCAACTGCTTCCATGTAATGACATACACGTGAACATATAACTGATATATCCACCGCACATGTGTGTTTTACACATGCACACATGCACATGTAAACCATCACCAGTACTCATGGACACACACTGCACACTCTGGTTTAGATCTGCCGTTCCTCTCTCTGTGTCTCACTCGATCCCACACAGATTGTCCACGCTACTTCATAGAAGCACACACGTGCACACGTGGAGAAGCGACAGTGATTCAGTGGTGGGGCAGCAGGAGCTCTGGCCAGTTAGGACCGATGCTGGCCTTCACACTAGACTTACGACTCAGTCTGTGAGCCCTCCCTGTTTAGGCCTTGATTCCTTCCCCCAGACCCTTGTGCAGGGACCAGGCCCAGCCACCCCGTCTCTGGAGCACACAGGGCTGGAGTTGGGGGAAGGGAGGAGAGAAATGGCAGACAGGGCCTTGGGGGCTTGGCCACCATCCTCCCCCAGCTCTGACCCTGGAACTGAAGCAAGGGAAACCAAGGTATGCAGGCTGGACCCTCCTCTGCCACAACAACTCACCCGGCCGTCGGGTGTACGTGGGCCTGAGTATGGCTGGGCTTCTCCCATCAGCACAGGCCACACGTCAAAGAATTCCTGGGCAGAGAGAAGAGGAGAGTGCAGTGGTCAGCCCAGGAGTGGGGCTGGGCTGGGCTGGGCAGGGGACCCTGAGTGCTGAGGCCTCACCTTCTCCTTGGTCATGTCCAGGAGGCCCACTGAATACCGTTCACAGTTCAGGTAGGCCCGGACGGTGTAGAAGGCCTTGTGGAACTGCCTCTCAATATCTGTCAGCTCCTCGAATACCTTGTTGGCCGACCACAACAGCACCTGGAGGGAAGGCACACCTGTGAGCCTGCGGCCCCACCCACACCCACATCAGCCTGACCACAGCAGCGGGGTCACCCATCACACCCGGTACACACACAGACGCATCTGACTACAATGCCTGAGGGGACACCGTCGGACCGTGGGGCCTGGCAAGGCCCTGTTTGATGGCGCCATGGCCAGGGTTCCCTCCATGCATGTGACCTGCTGCCTGGACAGAGAGCCCACAACCTAAAGGACAGTTGGGCCTCCAGGCTTGGGCCTGCCCTGTCACCACCACCTGCACTGGCCTTGGGTTTGGTTAGCGAGTGAAAGAGTGAAACCTGACATCAGTTGCTATGAGCTTGAAGGGCCAAGATCTGACCAGCCGTTCCTCTGACTGTGTGCTCTCTCACAGCAAAGTGAGTCTAAGAGTGACGGTTTGCTGACGTGCTCCACAAAGTCCTGGGCAGACCCCGCCCAGGGCATTGGCTCCCAACAACCCCAGGCCTCTGATCAGTGCTGCTGGACAGGCTCAGCCTAACTCTAGGGGACTGTCCTCCCCGCCCAGCCTGGGCCAGTTTCTGCTTCCTCGTCCACTGCCCACACACAGGGCCCTCGGGCCTGCACTGGAGTTGGCCTCACTCCACGTCCGATCTGTATGGAGCGCTGCCTGGTGCACAGCTCCTTTTCCTCCACTGTTCTTCCCTGCCCAGCTCCCTTACACCAGTCCCTCTCTCAGGGCCCTCTGAATCACCCTACCCCTTGCTGTCAGATAGAGAAGTCCCCTGGAGTCACCAGCAGCCCCCTCCCCAGGCCCCTGCATGCCCACAGCCCTCCCCTCTGCTGGAGCACTCCCACGCTGCTCACCCTCGCCCAGCATGGCCACTCAGCCTCTGGCTCTTTCTCTCCATCCCCAGCCTCCCGACATTCAGGGGACAGGGGACAGCTGCGCAGAGGAATCCCGACTCCGCCCTGGGCTCCACTGTCTTCACCTCATCAGCAGGTCCTGCCCAATCCCAACCCCAGAGTCCTCAGCCCTGCAATCGAGAACTCAGCTAGACCGGGGCTGCTGTGCCTTTGGCAAACGCTCAGCTTCGCGTCCTCCCTCAGCGGGCCGTCTGTTGACCCCAACCTTTCTCCATGGCTGGCACTTCTGCCCTCCAAAGCTAACTGTGACGCCTTGCTCTTTCCTGGCCCACACTCTCCCACCAGTAACTTCAGGAATGAAGGAATGTGAATTCCTGCACTGCCGACTGGCAACGGAGGGATGAATCCCAAATCCACCCAACACCAAATCTGCAGTGGGAAAACACACACCATATCCGCTGGGGGGCGCTCACGCCACCTTCCCTTCGCAGCTGGGAGGAAGCTCCAGGAGGTGCTATGGTCACCTCCATGTTCCTGGGGAGAGAGTGAGGCTAGTAGGGCCTGGGGCAGGTACCCACGAACTCAGCCCCTGTTGGAGGGTGTCAGTGTCCCCAACACCTCGCCCACCTCCTCTGGAGCAGGACTCAGTCCGTGAGCCCTCCCTGTTCTAGGTCTTGATTCCTTCCCCCAGAGCCTTCCCTGAATCCCACACAGGGACCACACCTCTCCTTTGACCCCAGGTCTTCTAATCTCTGTCCTCAGCAGAACACAGGATGTAGTGTGGATCGCCGTCCCCAGCCCTGACGCTGACTGCCTCTTCCTGGCCTACACCCCC